TGGAGTCATAAAGATCCTAGAAAGTTAGTATTTATATGCCTGTGTGTTTTTTGTTTGTTTGTTTTTTCACTGTCTTTGACTTTCCCAGTATGTTTGTTGCTGTTGACAACAATTCAGTCCTCTGCCAGGCTTCAGTCAATGTTTTTCTTCACTACCTACCCAACTCCTCGTCGGGCACTATGTAGCTGGTGTGGTATATTTATCACAGACAGTAGGGCAATTGTCACATTTAGTGCTCCAAGAAAATATTCTCTGTCCATGTGTATTTATATAAATAGATGCAGTTTCTTTGGCTTGAATAACGATCACTGGCTTCGTACATACAGGTATACTGGTTTACCTGTTTCTAGTTGAAATATAGCCAATCTTATTAACCAAGACAGTTGGACATTTGCCACATGTCACAACACTCATTTCCAAGTGCCATAGCTTGAAACAAGTAGTCAAATCTGATATTGGCTGGAGCTTTAGTTTATATGGACATGGTAAATGGCAAACTAGATGGTCAGAAAGTAATAAAAATAATCACAGCTTTACTCCACCCACCCCAATATGAAGTAAAAGGCTGTTTATAAGGCCATGTATGATGGTTTCATTTTTCTTATGGAAAACAATTTTAATTAAAAACTTACACGAAAACAATCGTGATATCATTCATTCAACTTGTTTAACCATTCAGTAATCTTTCTCAACGGGGAGTTGAAGCGCAGTGCATCATGGATGTAACGTAACAAGCACAACCTATAGTGGTAACGGGAGAACTGATCGAACGCTTTCACGTGTCATACAGTCGCAGAGATTTTTCCCCAATAATATTCAAAACTAATGAACTAAACTAGGAAAGTACAGTGTCGTGTTGTCGTGTCAATCCCGTTCGATCCCCACACTTTACTAACTGAGCGAACACTAGCACAAGACAAACGGCCCTATTCAGGACCACCACATCCTTCAGAGAGTGACTACCATTACATTATTGTTTCAATTTTGTTTTAATATTTAACATCAGTTGCTTGAACGTGATCTTCATTACACCGTCGCGGAATCACCGAATAACAGCTTTCCCATTTATAACAACAGTTTTGATTGGCTGCTGTTGAGCTGAGACGGCATAAATTCACGATTGACATTTATCAAATGTTCATTACTATGAAATTGCGGCCGAGTCTGACAGTTACCTCACTGAGTCAAGTGATTTAAACGATGATAATTACTTTAATAAATACTCTTTGTTTTATTATGTTCTAATATACGATCATAAATCTATCCACTTCCAAAATTTAGGGGGTTCGACCGAACCCCCCGAACCCCACCCCCCCCCCCAAACTACGGGCCTGAAATAGCCAAAAAAACACAGACTATGTCGGCCTTCTCCCGGCTTGATTCAAAGTCCACGGTGGTAAGGTTAATTTCAACTGAGCACACAGACAATCAAATAACGTGTTTACATACACAGATAAATGACACGTGTTTGGCTACGTTTGTACAATGTTACAATGCAGTATCTCTATACCAGCCGTCACAAACATACGTCACTGTCGACTTTGAACAGTAACAGGAGTATGCTCATTAGTGTTAAATTTAAGTGCCACTAAATATTAGCCGATATAATAGATATTGGAGTGTGTACTTGTTTTTATTCAGTTTACGGCACAGTCGTCAATCTAGAGTTACCGAATGTGATGCTAAACAAGAATCCTCTACGACCTACAGAATAATACTATTTGGTTGATTTGAGGGAAAAAATTACAACTGCGCCACTCTTTCGTTACCGGTTATCACATGTTTGCTATGTAGTTCCATTGTTTCAACCAACAATGTCCCTGGATGTTTCATCAAATTGTTTTCATCTATTGAAAGTAATGTGCGACATCGTGATCATACTTGCCTTCAATGTTGTATCATCATTCTGCTTAGACTCACTTGTGCTGTAGAGCTCCGGGAAAACGTCGTCATCTGAAGACATCATTGTTACGGTCGCTACACGGGTATCTGTAGCTACTGTCCTCTCACCTGTAGACGGGTATCAACTTCTGCGATAACGGATTGAACCATTATTAATAATTGGGGGGTTCGCGGATAGTTTATGCGTTCGTTTACTATGAAAACGTGCCTGTTTTCCTCCCATGTAAACATTTTTACGGATTATTAAATTTTCAATGTTTCTTTCCATACTTGTCATCTGATTCTTACTTGACTGGACCCATACATCAGCATTTGGAATTGGTAATGTATCGACCTTCATGTCAATGGACGTCCATGTTTTATTATCTCTGGAACCAAGTAACATCGCAATAAATCAGATAACACGATATGATTGTTTTAACGCGATGAAAATAGTACACGAGTTTGCTGACCCATTTTGACTGGACAAGGCTCGTAAACGCACTGGCAAATGGCAGTGCGTGAATGTAACTACTGGGAAAGTTTGGAATGCAATGTGATAGTGTTAAAAATTATAGAATTTTGATTAGTTAGTAAAGTACGACGTAAATGTTGGTACACAGCGCAACACAAGAATGTTAAGCGCCGCGGACTCCGATGACTCCGATCGTGTATGGTCCTACGGAACCATGATATTTTGAGCAGGTTGAAAATACGCTGGAGTAGAAAGCGATTATCATGAAACACAATACGGAATTTTGTTATATTAAAAACCAGCTGCCCAAATTTAAATCTTCTTTCAGAATTCTTCATGAATCACCTTTATTTTACTACTTAACAGATCAGTGTTAAATATAGTGTTAATAACTTAAATCGTAAAATAAATCGTCAAATATTATAATAACAATTATGATATCTGAGATTACATTTCTCTGATCTTCGATTTTATTTCAGATTTGAATTCTACATTCCCATAACTTTTATTTGGCATATCATGATATAATGTGTATAGGGTGATTTGATTTTTTTTTTCGCCGGAAATTCAATCGTTAGAAACAAATGTATTATCATTTTTTCCTCTAATATACAAATTAGGCATGAGCTATCTCAATGTTAACAACATATTTTCATCACAGGACGTCAGGGAACATAAAGCACCACGATTGCTGAGATGTGGGAGAGAGGAACATAGCAACGATCATATGTAGCCCATGGGGTATATTCTTTTGTTTGTTTGGTTGCGAGTCATAAATATACACAGAAATTAAGTTAACATGATAAAAACATTTTAAGTACTTTCTTTTGTATGATTCCAGTATGTGTTTTACTATTACAAACATCATTTTAATCCAGAGTTATCGGAACCAGAACTCGATATTGGTGAACTTCACTGAAGTATACACGGATTATTTAATACCTGTTAATTGTTTTTAAGGGGAGGAAGAATTGTGCCTTGGTGTTGAGGAAGGGGACAGTTAATGCAGATGGTTGTGATGGGAATTATGAAAGAATGAGTGGTGATACCAGACATTGGTAGTGAGAGGATCCGCTGAACATGTTCTAAGTGGAAGTGTGTGTAGGTGTGGATCCATTGACTTTGCTAAATGTGTCAATTTCAACAAAACTGTGAACGTGACTCACACTATACAGAGGGTGAAAAGGCATTTATTATGAAACGCCGCAAGTACATATTGACATCCACGCTGTCTATTGTGCTTATCAGAAGACTGTACACGATTTCTATTATACTAAACTGGTCACCATATCACCACCACGTGCTGTTTCATCTTATACTATAAAACTACCTTTGTGAGCCAGTGGTTGTTCCCGGCTCTATGCGTGCAGTGAGTTATTCGTAGTGAGATAAGGTTAAAAACTGGAGGCGTTCTTTGAATTTAATAAAAAAAACAGAGTAGACTTGGGGTACAGTCTGACCGATAAGAACCAATCTCCATACGACGTACACATGACATATGACGTGACAAGCTTCCTTTCGTAAACAATCTGTTTACCAATAAGTATATTGTTTTCGTTTATATCATGGAGGTAAAGGGAGGGAGCAAAGATTTTATAGACGTTTTAGCCACCTCTACTCATATGGCGGTGCCTACTTCTGAACGTGTTGTAGGCATACCTATGGGCAAATTACGTTTAACGAGCACTGTGTAAACCGTGTATATTACACGTCGCATGAGATCCCAATCGGATTCTGAGATGAGCGCAAAAACTCCCCCTATAGGCTGCCGCATTTGTTTACGTTTTGCGTGTGTGAGCGTACGCTGTGATTGGTTGGCAAGAACCGGTGGTTCATACCCGACGATAATATAGCGGCGCTGTTCACTACTGTTGTTATTTAAATACACATGTATGTGTATCTGTTAGTAAAACAACTCGTGGACAACGTAGTTGGGTAAGATTGCGTGCTAGTGTTGATCAGTGAGCGGCATTTGTTATCGGACATCACATACTGGTTGGCACAAATGTAAATAAATGACGCCATAGTGCTCCGGCCTATACTGGTAAGCGATTTCGCAATATACACAAAGTTCACAACTCACGCGACCTTGTCAATGGATGGATTTGGAAATGCTAACCTTTCTTCAGCATTATACTAACTAGATAAATAATAACTATTTACATTCAGTTCTCTCCTATATAACCATAAAGTTTCGAGTGACACCCCAACCTCGACCTACTTCAATCTGTGGACCATTGCAAGAAGAATACCAATGAGAACTGCAAGGTGATATCTCAAACCATGGAACTACGGTGTTTGTAGTATCATGCTCAAAACGAAGACTCTTATTATTTTTAATGTAAATAAGTGTATCACGTTCATAGATTGACACTTTGACCGCAAGAACAATATCATTCATCCACTTTAAGTACCCTGACATTGTATCAAATCTCAGACAACCTGTTTGCCTGAGATTAAACCCACCATACGTGAGGAATTTAGTAGATAGTGACCTGATAAGTATTTATCAATTAATAAATTCTATAGTTTTTTACGCATTAAATTGATTGGTTGACGAGAATTCCAGGTATTATGCAAATGACGACTTTGTTGTAATTTCATGACGTAAAGTCATGACGTAAGCATCGAACTGCTGACAGCAGTGAGTCAGTTGTCGCTGCCGAAGCCGTAGTTAGGGGAGGCTGATGATGATTTTTCTTTTTTAGTAGTAGCGAAAATAAAAAGGAAATTCAGGAGATTTTGACAAGACGGGAGCAACGGCCTGCCAGTGGTTACTCACTGAACACAGTAATCAGTTGCGTTCACGCACAGCTCCTTAGCACGGGCTAAGAGGTCAACTTCCTTTGCCGAAGTACAAACATGTGAGATAAGCCTAAATCAGCTTATATCTTAGCCTGTACTTCGGGTAGCGCGAACACTACTATTGTCTGGGTCTCTTTGAACAAAGCCCGTAAGCATATGTATTTAGTAACTACTGTATATCTCTTAGTTTTCACTGCTAGAAATTTCGCGATATCAGCATTGTACGGCATTCATGAAAACACAATTTCGCGAAAGACACGAAGACTCCGTGTTGTAGGAATCCAGAGGAATTTTCAGTGCTAACAATCTCTCGCAAAATTAAAGCAGTTTACAGTAGTCTACGCCCGATCGTCCGTGCTCGACTCTCACGCCGACCCGCATTGCATTGATAGCATTTTACATTGACACAAAAACATAACAAAATGAAAACACATATGTATATGTACGCAAGTAGTTTTGCGCAATGATGTGGCGAATGAATGCCGTCAAATATCATCATGTTCAAGTGATCAGCTTAAAGGGCGTTAGCCATCTCGCCTCGCATGCGCGAGATATATGGGTCTCATATAAACAAAGATGGCGACCTCGCGCAGATCAACGAGTACAAACTGAGACGTTTCCAAGCTTTAATTTAGTAATTTTTAGGTGATTTGAGGGTATCGAAGGAGTCACCGGCGGTACTCAGTGTAAGTCGTGCCTAGGTCAACCCTCATGCCAAGTCATGACTTGTTTTCATAAACAATTTTGGAAAATCATTAATGAATTGAAAAATTCTCATAAAAATCAATCTAATC